TTGAATCCTTCATATTTTCAGCGGAAAGTCTGGCTCAAGCTGCTCAAACTCAGAGTGAAGCATATTCAACTTTAAGTCAAGCGCTGTGGAAGTGTGACAAAGAACATATTCATCATATTTTGGCATCCTTACAGTCACTCTTCGGAGTCTTCGCGCCCAAGAAAATGGGATACAAAGCTCTTTCATGTCAACGTTTTCAAACTGCTCGAAACTTAAGACTCAAATCACACTAAAGTCACTAGAAAACCCCACTGATGCCCCTAGTCTTGCTTGCTATACTTGCTATGTTCCTTTCAGCAAGAACTGCTTGAGTTCTCTAGGAACCCTTCTGCTTCTGAAGACTAGCTGCACCACCATCACTGGTCTAACAGTCTAACAAACCGCAGGTGTGCTATCCCTCCAAGAGACAAGTCAAGCCCTGCAAGCCCTGCAAACTGTGCCACACAGAAGCAAGGAGAACAAGTGTCAGCGTCAAATTTCTCACGGAAGCGTCTCGTCTACAGCTTGAGGGCTTCACACAGCAAATTTCGATTGGCAGGTTTGCGCAGGAACAAGTTCTGGACAGCACTTGAAGAATGTCCCACACGCACAGCCAAAATATAATCCATGGGTCCATGTGTTAGAAGAAACTCTGAACACTCCTCACGAGAATGCCTCCAACAACTCTTGGAGGTGGAGCTTTAGAGACGACAGCGATACGAGTCTTGGCTGGAGGCCATTGCTTTTAGGGGTAAGGGGGGCATTGAAACGTCTTGGTGCTCGATCTGACTCGATCCGACTTGATCCGCATGGACATCGACATCGTCACATGCGTCCATCGCTTCGGAAGGATCCGAATGATCTGATTCACAGGAATTAAGACAGGCCACAAGCGGCTTGAGCTTGTCACTCCGCATCTGCTATTTGCAAACTATGTGGAGATCGAAAGGTGCTTGGGTGAGAAATGCTTGCTTTCGTGTCTCAGCAGAATCTTGCGGACTCTACCTTTGTTCTTTCCAGTCTCTCTCTTCCGGAGTGGAATGGGAATCACTGGCACGGGCCCATCACTGCACGCAAACCTGACAAATTCGTTTCGAAAAGCATCTTTTAAAGCGACTTCACAATGGTATGTCTGGTATATCGTCTATCATGTGCATCCTGTCGGAACAAGAATCTGGAAGCCTGAAAAAATCGGACTCGACTACGCCTGGACAGATCTTAGGTCTTGGACGTCTTCACCTCTTGAAGAACAAAGCACGAAAAGAAGACTTCAATCTTTAAACGAACAGAAGACCTGGCCGCTGCAAAGGCCTGGCTGTTTGATGGACTCTTTTCGTCCGTCTCACAGATCGTTGATGCACGACCAATAGAGGGCAGGAATAACAGCAAGAGGACAAATGGCAAGACAGCGTTTCTTTCACAACATTTTATGTGACTTGCAAAACGGTGTCTGACTTCTCAAAGTGGCACAGAATGTGTCAGCCCTCAGCCGCCTTAGCCTGCCGAACAAGCACAGAGTGGAATGCCACCTTGAAAGCAAATTTGTGTCCAACATTGCTGGAAAATACCGTCACAAATCAGCACGGACATATGCAACATGCCCATGTTAGCAATTCTAGCAGGAAATGCGAGGGAGGGTTGGCGGCAACCCAAAGCTGGTTCAACAGCTTGCTCAAGTTGCTGATGACATCTCACCTGAAGCCTGTGGATCTTGAGAGAGCTTGACTTGAAGGTGGATGACACCAGCATCGTCTGTTTTAAACGAATAGAAGGAACTGGTACCTTTCGCGGTGTCCTTCCTTGTCTTCTGCATAATTTCAAAATCAAAGGGACAGTGAATGATACGATGGATGCAATGGAACACTCTCCATTTGTGCATCGGTGTCTATGCCGAAGGATTACCGAGAGGCTGAACCATATAATGCGGAGGCGAACCGGAAGCTGCTCTGCAGCTTGCAGCAACAGCTTCTGCGAAAACAGCTCTGTCCAGTATCTTGTAGTTCAAGTTGATTTTCAGCTTGAGGCTAATAAAACCTTGGGCTACGGATAGTGCTAATCGGACACCAAACATGTTTCAAACTGCATCTGCTGTTGTGTTGACCATGTTTTGGGGCTTGTTCAGACTTGCATCCAATCAATCCAAACCGAAGCACATAAATTTCAAGCTTCACCTTGGCCATCATGGCTCTTAAGCATAATTTGCATCAAAAAGCCAAACGCGATCTGGTGTACGTTTGTCCGACTCCCGATAACCTCCGTCCGTCTGCGCTTCATGAAAATCGGAGTCCTCGCAACAGTCACGTGTTGCTGTGACGTAGCCAATGTCATCAGCCCGTACGGAAAGTCTAGTCCAACAGTTGGCAAGTTACTAAGCAATATTCTAGGACTGTGTCACATTGTCAGTTCTCAGCTATGCTGCATCATCAGCGAAGCACGGCCCCATCAGCTTCTCATGTCTCAAAACCACTAGGTTTGACTTTAAGGACTTTACAGCTACTAGGAACAAGTGCATCGCTTCTAGTAACAAGAAGCTATTAGAAACAAGTGCCTTACTAGTAACAAGGACGCTATTAGAAACAAAAGCGGCCCCTAAGACCTCACCGAGGTGGGCCACTTCACCGGTGCCAACATGCCAGGCCGGGTCTACGGCCAGGCCAGGCCTACTCGAGGCCGGGTGTTGGCTGCTTCGCTTTTGCCAGGTGAAGGAATGAAGACACAGTCAGTGCGCTTTCGGTTTCATGTGCTGTTGGACGGCCATGTCTTGTTCTACTGCTGCATCAGGGACGGTCATCGCAAACCCCTCAAGCATCGTTTTGACTTTTTGCAGGCCAGGACCGAGCACGGCCAAGCAGTGGAGAGTGGATTTCGGCAACCTCTAAACAACAACTTTGCTTAGCCGCACTTCGTGAAGTCTGCTTTGCTCCGATTTTTGCTTGCTTCTCTTGGTTCACCAACGTGAGCGCGGGTGGGCAAAAGCTCTCCTCTGCGGGTATCGCAGTTGCTTGTGCCTTCGGTGATTCAGGTCAGGTAGCTTTCGGGAGAGAGACTTTGCTACAAGTCTTCCTTTCCGAAGATTCAAAGAAACAAAAAAGAGCGCTCAGAACCTTGGATGTGATGTGTTGGAGATGGATGAACACCACGTAAACTTATAGAGAACTGAATATCAATCACTTTGACCGAGGACCCGAGGACGAAGTGCAACTCTAAGTATGGTCAACGTGCTTACCCTGTTTGCTTTATTACCCTGTTTGCTTTATCTCTTGGCGCTAGAAATTGGAGTGCCAAATGCCAAGAATGGAGGAGTCTTGGTCGAGCTTGCTTATCAGCGATCGATTGGGTGCAATGTTTGAAGAACAGTGTACTTCCTGAACACCAACTAAGCATGACAGCCGCTTTGAACAGTGCCATATTTGTGCATAGCAAGCGCTTCGACGCATTCTGGCTGCAACTGCTAGCACAAACAGCTTCATTTTGGCAACCTTTGCTTCTGAAGGCCCAGATTTAGCTTCCTCAAAGCAACAGTGTTTGCATGTCTTGGAGCTGGAGGGGTGCCCAACCTCGGCATTTGAGCTCCAGTCGCAGTTAGTGGCGAAGAACTGTGACTTTGAGTACGCTCAACCTCGAATATCCGTAGTTTGTTTCCTTCCTTGGCACCAAACAGGTTGAATGCTGCAAATGCCAAAGAAAGAGGAGTCTTGGTTCAGCTTGCTTATAAGCGACCAGGTTCAGCACCGGAAAGGGGCTGTTTTGCCCCGCCAACCAAGCATGACGGCCTATTGTTGACATCAACATCTAGGGAGGAACATACCGCTTCTTGAAATACCGCTTCAAGAGATTCTTTTTGCACTGCATCACTTGCTTGGTACTTGGAAACCTTTCTGCGGTCTCGTGTTGGCCAGGAGCGAATAGCGATGCCCTTGCTCCTAGTAGCGATGCCCTTTGTTCCTAGTAGTGTCCCCTTGCTCCTAGTAGTAGTGCCAGGAGCTACTAGTAGCTTCTTGTTATACGAACCGGAGTAAAGCCACATTTCTTTTCTCTGTATCTGGCCGTCAAGACCTTGTCACACCATGCAGCGGCAAGCTCGCCAAGAGCACGAGAAACCCAAGTTGCTCAATTCGTTGCTCAATTCTTTTCCTTTTCATTTCGACACAATGGAAGACAAGCACCATCGTAGCCAGTGGGCATGTCAGCACTGTGGCTCTGACATGTCATCTTTTCAACTTTGACGTCTTTGCAGGAGTCAGGCTCAGGAACACTCCAGTAAGCGTTGACTCAAGCTCAGCTGATTTCCATCAGACAGTATGAGGAAATTCAAGTCAAACTTTGAGTCACAGACTCTTGCTGCTTCAGCATCACACATCCTGATCTCACCTCGGAAAGCAAACTAAGAAGGAATGGACACTAATGAAGCATATCAGGGAATCGGAACCAGTAGGTTGGAGGTCGCTAGTAGGATGGAGGCCATTCCTATTAGGTTGGAAGCTATTAGGTTCCTGAAAGCATCCTTTAAGTTTCCAATTCATCTCACCGCCTCCCTCCGTTCACCTCCGGCACCCCGCCTTCAAACTCGTCTCTGATTGAATGTTCGTCATTGCGCCACTGACGAGCTCGGGACAAATCCGCCAAGCTCAACAGCCACGGAGAAGTTGTTTTGAGTGTCTGTCAAGTTGGGGGAAAAGAGTCTGCCATTTGTCGTGTCTCTTCTTTCTTAGCTGGCCTCTGATGTTGCTAAGACAGTTCACTTTACACCAAGTGCTTGAGCCAATCATGGGAGTGGAGCTGATCTTCATACTTTCTCCAAAAATGAGTGAACAGCCAGCATCAAACAGCATCAAACCGCTGTTCAAGCTTGGAAATGGGTATGAACTAGGATGATTGGGACCAAAGAGGGTTGTGCTGTGTGATTAAACTTGGGGCAGGTCTGAAGAGCCAGCAAAGCTGACATCGATCGGATCTCGACGGAAAGGTTTAAAGGTTTGGATATGTTGCAACTCACTAAAACCACTACATGCTTGAGCACTCGCCGTTTTCACTTCCAAACCTTTGCTTCACGCAAAGCCTTGGTTAGGACGGGGAAGGGTTAAAAGCAAGGAAGGAACCAAAGTAAAATAAAAAACACATAGCAAATAAGATGTATAGTTAATATTTCATGTGTACAACGCAAACATCTGTAGTACGTCACAGCAAACCCCTAAGGCCCTAAGGCCGAGACTTCAACGACCTGATCCCGAAGATCAGAACTCAGGGCCGAGACGCCTCACAGGGAAAGGACGGTCTCCACATGTCACCGTCTCTCCCGCCTTAAGCTTTAGCTCGCTCTCAGTTACTTAGCTCAGCTACTTTGGCTGCTAACTTTGCTCTTAGGTTGAAGGTTACCGCTATTAGGTTAGTTACTTAGCAAACTCCTCTCTCTCTCTCTCTGTCTGTCTCTCCTTCTCTCCTTCTCTTCTACACAACTCGCTCCCTCCAAGTCTCAAGCTTCCGAGGATCCCTTTGTTGGCAAATTCTTTCTCCACAAAACAAAGAATGCGAATGCAAGGTGAACGACAATGCAAGATTGCGAAAGACATTGTATTTATGGCACCTTGATCCTCAAGGCCACCTGCCTCATGAACCTGGAGGAATAAGTTCTCATGAACACGTGGAAGCTTTCATCGAAAGCTTTCATCACATGTTCGACTCGTTTGAAGCTGGGATCCAAGGCTAGAAGTGATCCAGCATTCGAAGTTGTCAAGCTAAAAAAGGCACCCAACCGGCCAGCTGCAACCTCAAAGCACCGGACTTCTCCATCTCGCTCAAAGAACTTTCTATATGTAGCTGTCCTACATGTTCGAACCGTATGCCTTTTTTTTGGCCTGAGGCATTAACCCAAGCGTGACCGATCTCTGGGTTCTCCAAGATCTGTGAGCAAAGTGAGGTTCGCGCCCATATGAAAAGATTGAGTTTCCCTAAAAAATCTAGGAACCAAATGAATAGTGTGGGCGCTTCTTCAAGGAAGCTGCCCCCGTCGCCTTTAGGGCTGGGGGGAGCTTCCTTGAAGAAGCGTGAGCTATCCGGAGCCAAGGAGCGTGTTTACTCTTAGGTCGCCACCTACTCCATTAAGTAGGGAGGCAAAGGTCGGCACAAAAAAAACAACCTAATAGCAAAAGGAACCTAGTAGCGATGGCAAACAGATAGCCTCCAACCTAATAGTGAGGGCCTCCACCCTACAAGAGATGGCCTCCAACCTAATAGCAATGCCTTCCAACCTAATAGCGATGGCCTCCACCCTACAAGCGATAGCCTCAAACCTAATAGCAATGCCTTCCAACCTAATAGTGATGGCCTCCACCCTACAAGCGATGGCCTCAAACCTAATAGCGACGCCAACCTAGAAGCAATGGACTGCAACCTAATTGTGATGGCCTCCAACCTAATAGCGATCCTACTAGCGATGGCCTCCACCTCAAGCGATGGCCTGCACCTTACTAGCCATGGCCTCCAACCTGCTAGCGACGGCCTCCAACATACTAGCGATGGCCTCCACCTTACTAGCGATGGCCGCCACAGTGCTAGTGATGGCCTCCACCTTACTAGCGATGGCCTCCACCTTACTAGCGATGG